AGGAAGGAAAGGATCTCCCTGAGTCAGCACTTGCAATTTTCTCCTAATGAGTGGAGTATGTTATTTACCCTTTTATAACTGGAAAAGACTTTGTTTCCCTGAACCTTGACTTCATGCTGGCTTTCCTGGAGGAGCTGAACCATGCCTCATTCTCTGTTATTCACAGCAGTGAGACCCTCTTACTTCCATTTGACATAAACAAAGGTAAATTCAATTTGTGCATAAGTACCAGGCCTTGATTATGGCAAAGTCGTCCAGGACGTGTGGGAGTTTGGAGGCACAAGTGACTCTGCCATATGATGGATAATATGCTTTTTTTAGCAGTAATGATTAATGCTTCTTGAAAGTGATTTAACATGACTTGAAACTTTGTATAGGTATCAAAGTTGTATGGAAATTATGAAAGAACAAGTAAAATGACACACAACATTAAGTAATAAGATGATATTTGTTTTGGCTCATTCAGGTACTGTTAAGAATCTCCAAATAGTTTTTGAAAACATGTTCATTTGCTGAATGCTCTGAGGGAGCAAAACTTGAAAGAAACCAAGCCACTTGAAATGTGTCAGGCACAAATGACTGATATCTCTGTCTTCTAAAATTATTTGACTTCATTTGACTTTCTGAAATGGGGCTTTTGCAGCAGTGTCTTACATAAGAGATGATTAATAGGATGAGGAAAATAAGGAGCTGACAAAAAAAATCAAAAATAATCTCTTTCCCTTGTGTTATTACAGGGTTAAAAAATTCTGAGACATCTTACAACTGTTAGAAACCATTTCAAAGAAAGCTTTTTGCCCTGAATACAGCTTCTTGAAAAGTAAGCATAAAAAGACATTGCCATTTTAGCAGCATCTTTTGAACAGTAAGTCTCTCTTCTTGTACTTTAAACCCTCAGAATCACTTTCCCTTATAGTCTGGGAATTCTCTGTCTTTGAGGGAAGGATGAATCTGTGCTTTTTTGATGTATTTCATGTTTAAGGATATTAACATATATTCAGGATAATGAAAACCATTTCAAATGCATAGAGCATCTTTGTTATTATGAAAGGCTGATGTTAGCTTCTTGCTGAGGTCCACAAAACCAGAGCTCTTGAATTTAGCAGAGCTCAGAGATGTGCTTCTGGACTCACATTGAGTTAAGAAGGTTCTTCCTTGCCATGTTGGGCTGTAGCATTTTTGGTATTTTTTTGTTTTTTGGAGGGATGGGCTTTCCTTAGACATAATGCTTATTTATTTTCTTTTGCTACACAGGGACTCAATCTGTGGTATAAATTGTAAAGTTCTGAGGTAAGGTCCTGTGCTACCTACATATTTATTTATTTATTTTCAACTCCTGGAGTTTGCATTTTTCTTTCTCCCTGTCCTGTTAGAGTTACATAAAGAGCTTGGTGGTTAAATCTCTGAATATAGCTTCAATTACAGATAGCTGAAAAAAATCCATGGTATACCATTGCTATGAAATCACTCTGGTAAGTGACATACCTGGAAATCTTCTCCTTCTGTGATAAGGACCTCTTGTTTCAGTGAAGTTTCAATAGAATTTCCACCTTCTTCTTATCTTTCCAACCTTTAAACCTTTTTTTAATTAAATTTTAGAACCAAGTAGAATATACTTTCTTTGTGGAAATACTAAAATATTTTTTCCTTTTTAAGGCATCTCTGATTGTGACTACAGATTTCTTCCCAGTGTTCTGGCACACCAAAACATTCACATTTTTTTCAGAACATCAGGTGACGTCTCTAAGAAATGGTGCTTTATAAAAAATGTTACTTCAATCACAGTGTGTTTTTATGGAAAATTTTCAATGTCCAACAGTGCATCATCTCAAGCATGTCACTGACTGCAGTTTGGATTTGAGGGGAAAGAGCTTACCCAAACTTTGAGGCAGCTTATTGTATTCCTT